CTGTGTAATGCTTTCATACACAGTAGAGTATATGTTACTGAAAATTCTGTCCAGTCATTGGCTGTATAAATTAAAAACTGCAAAAACCATTATATTTTTTTGTCTTAGATATTCTACTCTATAATTAGAATACTAAGATTTACGTTTGTGAATTGTTACATTTTGGTGCTATTTATAAAAATTGTAATAATATAATTAGACTATAGTGAAATGAATTATGACCCATCAATGGGCCATTATAAATAAATTCAGGCTTTAAAAATAACTCTGTATAAGGGCTGGAAATAGAGAGACACATCTTTAATCTCAGCACTCAGGAGGTGGAGGCAGCTGGATCTCTGTAAATTCAAAGGCCAGCCTGGTCTACATACTGAGTTCTAGTACAGCCAGGGATCTCTCTCATAAAAAAAAAAAAAAAAACAAGAGCAGCAAAATTCGCTTCTGTAGTGTTTTCACTTTTAGGTGCCCAAGAAGAAAGCATAGGCAAAGGGGTGTTTCACACGAGTATACCTCTGGGCAGAACCAGGCAGAACCCTAGGGTTCCAGGAGCAAATGTATAACGATGCACTTTATGGGTTTAGGAATTTCAGCTGTGAAAAATTTAGTGGATGAATTATGGCAGTCAGAAGAGGCAAGACATTTGGCCCATTGTTTTTAACCCTTGCCATCGAACCTCTGAAAGATAATTGTGAGGAAAAAAATTTTTTTTTTCTGTTAAAAGTAGCTAGTCTGCCAAGGGCCAATATTCCATAAATTTCTCCAACCTCGTAAGACTTTTGTGCAGATCTTTACTCTCCACCACCTGGTAAAACATCATTTGCACAAAGACTGGATGGACCACATTCCTAGAACTTGATGGACTGAGGTGGCCCAGCTTCTTCCCCTCTTCTCTTTATTCCACTGTGTCAATTTTTCTCTTTTTCTAAAAATTATTCTTTTATTATTTTATGCATGGGGGTGCTTTGCCTGTGTGTATGTCTGCATGCCACATGTGTGCCTGGTGCCTGAGGAGGCCAGGAGAGAGCGTTGTATCACCTGGAGCTTAAGCTACAGATGTTTGCAGGTCGCCGTGTGGATGCTGGGTACTGAACCCAGGTCCTCTACGAGAAAAGTCAGCCATCTTAACTGCTGGGCCATCTCTCCAGCTTCCCTCCACTGATTCTTTTAAAGTCAGCCAATTGTGAAAGATTGAGAGGTTGGACCTCAGCCAGTTCCGGGGTGGGGGTGGGACAACTGCATAAAAACAGAGTGAACTTGTTTTTGTGTGATAGCTAGTTCTAGCCACATCTCACAGAAAGAGATTGCCTTGCTGTGGTGTTTCAGTGAGAATGGTCCCCAGAGGCTCATATACTTGATGTTTGACCATCAGGGAGTGGAACTGTTTGAAAGGATTGAGGGTGTGGCCTTGTTGAAGAAGGCATGGCCTTACTGGAGGAAGTGTGTCACTGGGGGTGGGCTTTGAGGTTTCTAAAGCCCATGCTAGGCCCAGTCTCTCTCTCTCTCTCTCTCTCTCTCTCTCTCTCTCTCTCTCTCTCTCTCTCTCTCTCTCTCTCTCTCTCTCACTGTTTGTGGATCAGGACAAAGCTCTCATCTATGGCTCTAGCACCATACATACCTGCCACCATGTTCCCCACCGTGATGATAATAGACCAAGCCTCTGAAACTGTAAGCACGCCCTCAGTTAAATGCTTTAATCTATAAGAATTGCTGAGGTCATGGTGTCTCTTCACAACAGTAGAACAGTGACCGAGGCGGCTCCTTTTGCTTTGCTGTGCGTTCCTTCTGTCTCAATGCGATTTTCTTTGTGTCTAACATACCAAACACCCGCTGGATATGTGGAATTTGCTTTAGACTATTGTTCTGCAAACATTCAAGCAGTTAGCAACTGTAGATGGAGTGATTTAAAACTTAACAACTGAGTTTGGTGAGACAGCTGAGTGGGTAAAGGCACCGCCTTTGCCCTTGCTTGCCGAGAAGAGACCACCACCCCGGCTGAAGCGTCTGAAGCGTCTGCACAGGGCAGCCCTGACTGTTGGTCAACGGGGTGTGTTCAGAAGGGAAGATTAGTCACGCATTGACGGCGGTGACTCTGTCTTTTCCCATTGGCAGGGGTCTGACCTTGCAATCCTATGAGACCAGCTGGTCCGAAAAGTTGGTCCACAGGAACTGAAAGAGGAAGGGGAAAGGGGGCCAGTGCTTCAAGGAGAAAAGGGTTAGTGTTCCAGGCTGTCAAATTCTCGGAATGCAGCAGAGGCCTTTGTGCAAACAAAGGTTTTACTGCTGGAGGAGATAAAAACATTGGCCTAGAAGCTTTACAATGTGGGAGAGACGAGAAGATTTGAATTCCCTGTCCTAAACACAGGTTTTACAGTACTTGTTAGGGAAGACTCATATTTAATATTTCTTACACCTCCAAACATGATGACCTGAGTTTGATCCCCTAAGACCCACAATCTGTAAGGAGAGAACGGACTCCCAAAAGTTGTCCTGTCTATCTCCATAGGCATGCCAAGGTAATGGCATACATGCTCAGCTCATTCTCTCTCTTATACACACACACACACACACACACACACACACACACACACACACACACACACGCACACACACACACATCAGTAAATGTAAAAAAAAAAGTTACAATTGGATTAGCAATCTAAGAGACTGACCATAGACAACAGCATTGTGTTTTCTTAAGATTTGCTAAGTCAGAGATAGCACAACTGTCTTAGAGTCTGGCTGAAAGATTCTGATCCCCTGATCCACTCGGAGCAGCCAGCCTGTGGTCTGGGGTTTATGGTCCTTCTGTTGCTTTCCTGATATCCACCATCTGGACACCACCAGAGAAGCCAGGTGCAGAGCACATGATCGCAACCAGGACAAAGGGCCTTTCAAGAAAATTGACTTTAAAGTGTCTAAACCTATGATGACCAGATTGAGTGGTAGGGAGCAGGGTGGTGGTGGTGTTCTGTCTCCCCGCCCCCCATCTGTATGTGTGTGTGTGTGTGTGTGTGTATGCCTGCACATGTCTACTCCCATGCATGGGAATGTCATTATGCATTGTGTCAGAATGGTTTGATTCTGATTCTAAAAATGCTTCATGACGGTTCATATGTTTAAGGCTTGGTTTTTTGACAAATCAATGAACCATACGAGCTCTGATTTAATCAATAGGTTAATCCATGGAATTCTTACTGAATGGATTATTAAGTGGGCTCTCGTAGGAAATAGATTGCCAGCGGAATGCTCTTAATGGATGTATTTTTGTCCTGTCCCTTGTTCCTGTGCATTCTGTCTGTTGTGAGGGAAGCCAGTCTGTTCTACCACGTTTCCCACATTTTGCCTCACCATGCATTGGCCCAACAGCAATGAGTCACAGGACCACACACTAAAACATCCCAATACATAAGCCCAAATAAGCTTTCTTTCCTTAAGGCATTTTACTCAGATATTTTGACACAGTGACAGAAAATGACTAATACAGACCCGGCAAAAATATTACAACAAAGCAAATTATTAAATCAATAATTTTATATGGATATAAGAATTACTGAGTGAACCAAGGTATCACTACAAAATTTATAAGGGAAAAGACAGACATTAAGATATTCAAGGAGGGGGAAATAGAATACAGTGCTCTAATGGGATGAAGCGGAAACTAGAATAGGAGGGATAAAGGGGCAGGGCTGGGCGTGCAGGGGAAGGAGGGTTAGGACAAGGACAGCTAACTGTAAAGACCTTTGAAAAAGTCACATGTAAACCTAGTGCTGTAGAAACGTCCTAAGATATATATGCATATACAAGGAGTCTAAGTGGAGTTAGCATATCACCGCAGGAGGACCCATACCTCAACTGGGCATCATTTGCTACTTCATAAAACCCCTAGCACCAGGAACGAGTTACATCTTTTCAAATTAGTGGCCAAAGGGATCCCATAGACCCCACAAAGCTATTATTAATGCTATTGGTTATCCTCCACAACTGGACAGTAAGACCCTATTGCTGAAGAAGACACATACTTACAGAGTACCGAGGAACTGAGCTGGTATTTAACTGGAAACTCCAGTCCTACCAGCTAGTGCTCACTTATCAACCCTTGATGCTGTTCTTAAAGTTTGCACTTGAGAAGTCTGCTCCTATTTCTACTGCTTAGGTCTTAAAATCCCCTAAGCAAGGATTCCCACGAACAGGCCAGTCATGGCTACATGATTAGCAGGAAGAAAATGACTGGAAATATTTGATACATTTTTATTTTAATGAGCCGGACGAATAACAATGGGAATGCTAGCTATAAGCATTGTCTAAGTAAAATCATTCTCTTGCACGTATTTATTTATCACGATTTTCCCTATCCTGCATTTGCATGCTAAAACAAACTATTTTCTTTCTCCGGGATTATCCCAATGAAAGAGTTTATTCAGCGAAGAGAATAGAAATGTTGACTGTGTGGTAGTAAACACAGTGTTTATAGACATAACAAGTTACATTCTAACCCCTTGCAGAGACCACAGTAAAGCCGAACTCCACATTTTCATAAGCCTTTGGTTTACGCTCGTATCTTGTGCTGTTTACTGTCTTCCAAACACCAGCCTCCAGCACGGCACCCGGCATCTCTGAGAGAACAGCTACCATTGAATAAGTCAGCCAGTGAATGGGGTTCAGAAACCTGGACGCCACTGACCTTCGTCCTTTTATTTTTGGTTATTATGTTGCGGGCTTCCATTTATCCTTACCCACTGGTAAACATTGAAAACAGCTTCACATTTGGATGAAGCCAGACCCCCCTTCGCTTCTTAAGATAGTTTACTTGTTTTCCTTGTTTAGCAGAAACAGTTCAAAAGTGCTTGTTAGAGAGAGGGTGGCTTTATTAGGCAAAGTGACTCAAAATGAAGAAGTCTCTCACTCAGTTCCGGGTACCTTTTTTTTTTTTTTCTTTTTTAAGTCTGACCCAAACGGAAGTGAGTGTGAGGTGAATCTCAATCTCGGGAACTTGAAGTAGAACAGAGATGAAACTCTAAGCAGGAAGCGAAATAGTATCAAGCTATTGGATGGAGACACGCTTGTGTCATGTGAGAGGACATGACAGAAACAGCTTTTCTTAAATTATTTGTGGCAATCGTGGTCACATTCATTTTAGTCTTGCCAGAATTTTTCAAGACACCGAAAGGTAAGTAAATCGTCACAATGGAGCTCCCCTTTTCTACGTTAGAGCAATGGTGACAGACAAGATCTTTTTGGGTGTACGCTGCGTGAGCTAAAGTTCAATGTCTGAAATACCTTTAAGTTAAGTTAGATCCAGTTTTAGTTGCCCGTTGTCTAGCACAGTGACCTTAGGACTTAGTTATGGTTACAATAGGAAATGAAAAGAGAAATGTAAAATCTGCATTTAGATTCCAGATATAGGATTTAAGATAATACCGTTCGTTACAGGAGTTTATTCTTTGAAACTGTTTCCTTCTTTGGAATAGTTGTATGTCTTTTTTTACATTTTGGAAGTATATACTAAGGAAAATAACACTTATTCATTTTAAGAGGATCGAATTCATTTTATCACAAGTTGATGCAATTAATTTACTGGTAATTTTGAAAAAATGGTGGTAATTTTACTATTTTTAATATACAATTAAAAGTAGATCGGTACAAATACAAGCGGTTTCATGTGTGTTTGTGAGTAGTGGGAACGGGGCAACTCTGAGAGCCCTTTAAAGAACTCTTGCATGACTGCTGAAATTTCAGGATACAGAAGCAAAGACAAGGGGATTTAAACTATTTCTGTGTCATTAAAAGATTGGAAAGCATGCTATTGTGGATGCTCAAGTGATAATTGTGCTCTTTAGCGTTTAATAAAAAGAAAAAGAAAAAAGAAAATGTTCTATGACTAAATAAAAATCTATAACTTTATTAAAACTAGAGAAACACTTATATTTGATAGCTTGCTGCAATGAATATTTATTATTGCATATATGCAAAGCTAAGTATTCAGATAAAAATACCTTTGCTAATTATATTTGATGACATACTGCAATGATTATTTAATGTTGCATATTAAATGATGCTAAGTAGCCAGATAAAAATATTTTTGCCAAATAAACACTGTGACTGCAATTTTAAGAATGATTGAATTTAGAATTTTTTCTTTTGGTTTGACTTTTTTATAGTGCCCAGATTAAGCAAGCATAGTGTATATTTTTGATGCTTATTTTTGTTGGCTGAAAATGTATCCTAAAGAAAGCACAATAAAGAAAACCTGCTTTTAAGATATTTTGGGCGGAGAGTAAAATCACGTTTAGTAGTTATCTAAGCCAGGCCTTCTCTGTGTTTATATACCTTTTGCTTTGAAAAAATGAGTTTGCATCTTGTGAAAATCAGGAAACTGGCACACACTGTCTGCTCTGTTGGAGTGTTCTGTGAGAGGCGGTATCTCTAGGAGCTTACCACCGGCTGTGCGGAGGACAGAGGAGGTGTGCTTTTGACTTTCAGTTTGTGTTAGAGTGTGGCAGCAAAATCCAGCACAGAGCAGAAAGTCAGAGAGCAACATGTGGGGGGGGGGGGGGGGGGCAAAGGGAGCCTTGGAGTGGAGCACTAGGGTGCCTTTGAATTTGTAAACAGAAGGAAGAGTTTTTGCAGAATCCAAGTCAGCTGAACGTCCCGGGCCTGACAGTGTTCTTTCTCCGTGTTGACCTGTGTCACTTAGATGTCTGTTTTCTCACTGCCCCTGTTGCTGTTGCTGCCTGCCCAAACTGGAAAGAGCTATTTCTGTTTCCTGGTCTTAGGATGACGAAATTGTTTAGATAGTTTGTTTCCTTATTTGTATCCTTATTGCGGAAATGTTTGCAAACCATTGTCTTCTGATGTCCTTCAGTGCAGGGAAGGAGTCTTGCTTAAACCCACCACAAACAAAATGCTGGTTATTCGGGAAGCTGTTTCACATGCGCGAAACTGTAATAACCGTGCTTTCTACTGGACTGTGGGTCATCAGGATTATTGCTATAACCGCAACAGATGTATCCTTATATTGAGGAGATATGAATGTAGTTATTTTGTTCCTTAATTTTGTTTTGTGTTGTTTTGTTTGGGACAGGGTCTTTCTATATAGTCTTGGCTGTCCTGGAACTTGCTATGTAGATGAGACTGTCCTCAAATTCACAGAGATGTGGCTGTGTCTGACTCCCAAGTGCTGGGATTAAAGGTGTACACCACTACTCCTGACCATTGATATTAGTTTTTAATGCCAATGTGAGTTATCTTATGAAATGAATTGAATGGTCAATCAGTGCATATCATAAAGAATTTGGTACAATTATTTAGATGATGAAGTGAGATTATTCTTAAAGAAGAAAAATAAATGTTGGGGTTCTCAAGGCTAATCTTGGCCTGTTAGGTACTTGTGTACTTTCTTCATATTGTATTACTCTATTCACTTTAATTTCTAGAATAAATATAACAAAAGGATGTAACTTATGAATTGCTCACTGGTACCCTGTCTTTACCATGAACTCAAAAGGAATCTCAGTGTGGAGCAGTGCATATGAGGTTTAATGTATTTGATTTCAAAACAATAATTGTCTAATGCTTCAAGAAAAATACAGCACCGTATCTGATCATATGTTGTCAAAAATACATCTAAGTATTGGAATAATTGTTAGTAGGAATCTTCAGTTATTACAATTACGTAGTGTTGGTTATTTGGCTTAATTTTAAGAATGAGAGCTTCTTAAATATTGCTTGCCACTTAACAGGTTGCCTTGGCAGGATAACCTGTTTTCCAGCAATGTCTGAAACCCCCAGTTAGTTTGAAAGGCAGCTAGCACACAGCAGTTGATGACCAGCTTGACCCTCTTAAACCATGTGTAGAGAATGGAAATGCAGTTTGGGAACAGAACATTTTGATTCTGTTTCTTACAACTGAGGACACAAGTTTGTTCCCAACAACATCATCACCGATCTGCTTTGGTTGGATGTGACATTTAAGAGCCTTGGGAGAGAGGACTGGAGAGATGGCGCAATGCTTAAAAGCGTAAGTCCTCCAGAGGACCTGGGTTCAATTCTCAGCACCCACACAGCAGCTCACAACCATCTGTAACTCCAGTCCCAGCGGATCCAACACCATCTTCTTCTGGATTCCATAACCACCAGGCATACACATGGTACACAAACACATATACGTATAAAATTTGAAAGGGACATTTGATTAAGCCTTAAGTTGACCCCAACGATCTTTAATTGATTCTTGCACTTAGCCACAGTGTCTCCTATGCTGGGAAGGTGAGGTTACCTACAGAAAAGGCTGACTCCTAAAGAGTCTTCATTCATGAAGAGAATCAGTTGTCAAGCAATTAAGTACAACCCCATAAAGAGTAAAATGGGCTGTAAAAGGGTGTTATGGGAACTTTTACATTGTTTCCAGGCCTGCGCTGAGAAGAGGTTTCTTCTGTTTCCAGTTGCTAAGAAAAATAATAACTTGGTAGAGTTCAAATAATCCCCCACTATTCTTCGTGCCTGCAGAAGCGCTTTCAAAGAGAAGTCATGATTCTTATTGATTTTCAAATAAAATGCTCTCATATCAGCATCTCAAAGCTTTATAAGAGCTGATGCAGCGGGGCCTAGCAGAGATTTGCAGAAAACAGGACAAGAGCAGTGCAGATGAAGACTCTGCCAGCCTAACTTCATCCAGGTGTTTGGATGTCGCTTACTTTGACGAGTCAAACCTGCATAAAAAGCTCACCTGCCTTCATTTTCTCTTCCATGTTACACTTTCTGGTGGAAATGATAAGATAGCGAACAGCAAAACTGAGGATAAAGGACCTTTAACTTGTGAATTTTTTTTTTTTTTGGTTTTTTCGAGACAGGGTTTCTCTGTAGTTTTGGAGCCTGTCCTGGAACTAGCTCTTGTAGACCAGGCTGGTCTCGAACACACAGAGATCCGCCTGCCTCTGCCTCCCGAGTGCTGGGATTAAAGGCGTGAGCCACCATCGCCCGGATCTTTACTTGTGAACTATAGGACAAACCCTCCATCCATAGCATGTCTTCACTATATTTATGTCTCTATTATTAGAGGCAGTGTGTGGAGGGAACTGCAATGAATGAAATGTCACCCTTGCTCTCAAACTGGGAACTTTCTTTTCTTCTTATTGACTTCTTCATAAAAATGGAATCAGTTATCCCCCGCAAGGTGCAGGATCTACGCCTATTTAAATTTTGAGCTGGCAGAGGTCTCACTGCGTTGTCCAGGATACTCTCAAATGCTTAGGCGCAATTAATTCTCCCACTTTTGCCTCCCAAGTGTTGAGACGACAGGTGTTCACTATTGCATCTGGCTCACAATTTAAAGCGTGTGTGCATGCGTGTGTGTGTGTGCGCGTGCGTGTGTGTGCCAGACATCTCCTCTTCTGCTCTCCACTGTAACTATTTCAGCCAGGGTTTGTCACTGAACCTGAGCTTATGAATTGACTTGGCTGATTTTCTAGTAACCTCCAGGGATACTGTTTCCAGCCTCCAACCCTAGGGTTGCAGATGGGTACCACCATGCCTGGTTTTTATGAGTGTGCTGGGTACCCAAGGTCAGGTCCTCATGCTTATGTGGAAAGCACTTTGATGACCAAGTCATCTCCCTAGACCTTTGGGCTCAAAATTTGTAAACATTTTAACAGATGTGTGCATTTACATACATCAGGTACTGGGCTAAATATTTTTACATGTAATTCATTTCTAACTGATTCAATATTTCAACTCAATGACTGGGAATGTAGTTCAGTGGAAGCTGTAGTGAGACTCCAAGAAATCATCCCGTAGCCGGGCGATGGTGGCGCACGCCTTTAATCCCAGCACTCGGGAGGCAGGGGCAGGCGGATCTCTGTGAGTTCGAGACCAGCCTGGTCTACAAGAGCTAGTTCCAGGACAGGCTCCATAGAGAAACCCTGTCTCGAAAAACCAAAAAAAAAAAAAAAGAAAAAAAAAAAAAAAGAAATCATCCCATATACTCCTTGGTACACACAACTGTCCTTCCAAGTGTTCATTGCAAAGAGCCATTGGTCTGGTCCGAGGCCCCTGGATTCCACTACATGTTCAATGCTGGCCACCCCCAGGACTCTTCCTGGACGTCCTGCTCGTCCCTGTGTTGTGGACATCCAGCAGCTTTGGGTCTGTGGGTCAGGTTCCTTCTCATGG